ACATAATAACATAAATTTAGTACATAGTAACATTAACTTGAACATCATTATTGATGTAATTTTAAATTATGAAATACTACAAAATTTCTACAAAATTGGTCGAATAGCTTGTAAAAATGTTAAAAAAAATCAGATTTTTAATCTCTTCAATAACGATTTCATTCAAATTTTGTATTTTGTCATTTAAAATTACATAAATTTTAAGTAAATACGTGTAACACAATAGAAATGCTATCATTGATTATCTCTTGATTATAATTTTAGGAAATTTCACACTGAATTTAGCGATTCTGCCAAAAATATAAAAATATTAAAAAGAGGGGGGGGGGGAATACTTTAAATTTTAATTCCATCCCCTAAGAATAACACTATTAATTTACGAACATGGATTATTACTTTTTCCTAGACGTTCGAGACAAAATGATGAATACCATGAAGTAATTTTTTTAATTTTATTTATTTTTTATTTTTTTTTATGGTTGGCGCACTCAGGGCGGAGCAAAAGCAAAATGCTAAGTTGCGTATTATTTTTATTTATACATTTTATTTTAAAAAAGGCTCTAATGAATAAACTCCGTAATTATTTTAAAGTTGCCATTCTGCTTTCTTAAAAGTCAATATTTTCCACTAAACAAAAACGCACTTTTTGTTAAGAAAATATACAATTACTGTAGTTATATCTCGAGAAATACACATTGTAAAATATTTCGAGAACTATACATTGAATCGAAGAAGTGAAAATAGACGCCAAAGCTAAAAGCTATTCAATTATATCTGATGGGTCTTAGACCGAAGAGCCATTACATTATGACCATCCTGCTAATAACATGTAGGACCACTTTCAGCCCTCAAAACTGCTAGCACCCGCCGTGGCATTGATTCCACAAGGTGCTGATAGGTAGTCTGAGGTATCTGGTACCAAGGGCTCGCCAACTGGTCTTGCAATTCCCTCACATTGCGAGGGGGTAGCGTGGCAGCAAGAATTTGGTTTTCCAAGTAGGACCACAAATGCTCTATTGGATTAAGGTCAGGTGAATTTGGGGGCCAAGACATGACTTGAAAGTCATTGGAATGTTCCTCGACGATTCGACCCTTATGACATGGTGCATTATCCTGTTGGTAAACACTACCCCCCGCTGGAGAAACTGTTGCCATGAATGGATGAACTATGTTCAAGTAGCTTACAGACGTCAGGGATTGTTCTATGAGGATTATGGGTCTTAATGTGCCCCATGAAAACATTGTTCCTGGGCGAGAAACCATGAAAACCTGGGCGAGCCCATTGTTATAGATGGAGGGTGGTCATAATGTAATGGCTCTTCGGTGTATATTCTTAATCTGATGGATCTCAAAACTCGCCATTTTAAACAGTGTATACGCTATTTTAACTCTCTCGGTTGCGACGCCATTTGTAAAGCAAAATGTATAAACTTATGAGTCAAATAGGGTTACTTTTTTCTAGAGAATTCGAATCTGGATTTAAGATTTCACGATGGAGTTTGGTATCATTGCGTAGCGTATAAAAAAATATCAGATGCGTCTATTTTCCCCTTTTTGATCCGATGTATATTTCTCAAGATATTTGACAGTTTCCAAACTATTTTCATACCCTGTATACGAGATAACGCAGTCTACGTCAAATAATTTCATCCTTTAAAATGTCTTTAGAGAGCAATTCTCCGGGTCACTATGCGCAATCATTATTTTATCTTTTCAGAGCCAGTATTTTTTAAGAATCAGGCAGGGTTGGGTTTTTGACATTCTTTATTTTGTTAAAATTTTCCTAATATCATCGTTCTATAAAAATATCAGACCTGTTTTCTTGTTATCATTTTGGCGGGAAATAAATTCTTGTTCGAAGTTTTTGGGTTCAAAATGGAATCTTCGTAAATTTAAAGAAAACATATCGATTCACACGCGGTTGAACTTTTTTTTGTAATGAGTATACCACGGCATTGACCAGCGGTCTACTAGTTCTACATTCAGTATTGAAACACAAATACTTGTTTCGTAGGACCTTTACATTGCAGGTCAAAGATCATTGAAAAATCATCGAAATAAGGCTATTTTCTTAGAAATTTTACCTCAAAAACCTAACTGTACCAAAAATGAACAAGAAAGCCATACATTTCTGTGAATATGTACTAATGAAAAGTACTTAAAAAAAGCAACATATGGTGTAGCACATAATACCTAATTTCATAACCGGTTTTGAACAGCCAATCCAATTCTGAGTTCACGACTATCAATGTTCAACTCCATAGTTTTGAAATTTGAGCTCAATCCAGAAGACGAGGGAATTTCTGGATCAAGCAACGGGACAAAATAGCGTTCAATGACGACTTTTTGATGGAACTAACCAGATATTTACGTTAAATGGAGAGGAAAACCATAAAAATCTTCCAGGGTTATTTCGACAGCAAAGGGATCCATGATCCATCTACCACGGAGAATATCACGAAGACTCAACATGCGTTTGGTGTAGTACACAATACTTTTTTTTATAACCAGCGTTCAACACCCAACCCAAATCTGAGTTCACGACTATCAATGCTCAACTCCGAAGCCTAGCAATTTTTAACCCAATCCAGAAGACAAGGGAACTCTTGGATCAAGTAATGGGAGAAAATTGCCTTCTTGGAGGATTTTTTGGTGGAATTAACCCACATTTGCATTTCCTGGAGACCAAAACCACGAAAACATCTCATAATTGGCCTGATGGCAATTAGCCTCACGGAACTCTATCTGCTGATCTATCACCGAGGATATTTTAAGGCAGCACTGTGATGGTTGTGAGCCGGTAGCGGAATTCGTATCTACAGCCATCGCTGTGATTCGAACCTGGGGTGTCCGAGCGCTCTAACCCTTGAGCCACAACAGCTTTGTGATAAAAATAAAAAGAAACTGAGTTATCAACTGACCCGACAAAATTCAAGGTGATTAATTGCCTTTGCCAAAGCTGGACAAATATGAAATTTGATGGAAGCTGATGGATTTGATAGTTGATTTTCCTGAATCAATATTGTTGTCAAAGAAGTTTGAATCACGCAGAAGGAGCATTGCGTTATGATTCCTTTTCTTTCTTTTTTTTTCATTATGACAAAGTTGATAATAAAGCACAAAAAAAGTAAAATTCATTCATTAAATCAAATTTTGGATGTCACACAATTTTTACTTAAACACATTGAAATAATTTCATTGTAGTGAATATTGGGAAATGGCACTTAACCTTAAAAAAACTTCAATATAGAAAATACAATGCGATGTACTTAGCCTTGAAGAACAACATTGTAAGGAATACCGGGCAAATGTATACCGAGCTAACATCTTTGTCTTATTATTATCTCGATAATTCCGATTATTATAAATGAAAACTTGTATTTGATAACAGCTGTATGATAAAATGTTTTTTTTAATTAAAAAAAAACAGTTTAGGATGTATTTTACGGTACTGAAAATAAAATATGTTATAACAGCAAAAAGAAAAAAAATTGCTGAAATATGCCCAACTGTAAATTATGATTGTCTGATTTTTATTGTATTTAAATTTAAATCAATAAACTTTTTGTCATATGATAACAACGGTATCTTAAAATAAAATTTATTAAATAAAAATAAGTTCATGTTTTTTTTTAAATAAAAATAGTCAGTTAAGCTGTATTTAACGCTTTTAAGATAAAATGTGCCCATAACAGCGAAATGGAAAATTCCTAAAATATGGCCAGCTGTGAGTTCCGATTGCTTGTGCTTGCATTACTTTTAAATCAATAAAAACATTTCAGTTCAAGCAAGTCATTTGATAACAGGGGTATATTAAAATACATTATTATATTATAATTAGGAGCTCTGCTCTCTATACGTTTCTCTAACTCTCTGATTGCAACTTGTTCATTTTTTCTAGAACATAAAAAATTTTTACATCTACAATAAAAAAAAAATTCAAAATTTTTTATTGTGTTAATGCAGATTTAGTTCTGCAGATTTTGCTCCCAATTCTGTTAAAATAAAATTTAAACCTCATCATTTTACTCGAATACCTTTGAAGCAATATCTACAATTTTGTTTTTAAATTCTTAGTTATTTTTAAATTGCTACAAAAACTTGCAAAATATTTTTCACATAAGAGATTACTTAATTAAGCTACGAATAATAAATTCTTTACTATGGCTTACAAATTTTTATTCCTTATTGTAATTGTATATGTTGACAGTATGCAGTTTTACACAAAGCGTATTATAATGGTAAATATCACTTATTTAGTGTTCAATAATTGTAAAACGGTAAATAAGTCAGATGCGTTTTATATATGTTTAACTTTATCATAAGGTGATTTTGTAACAAAGAACATAGCATTTTATTTAAGTCTTTATCTTTAATTTGAAATATCAAATTATCAAAAATATAATAATAACAGAGAATAATATCATCACTGGATGATAATTCATCATTACAGGTAAATACCGTTAAATAAAACATAAAGTTGTACTTTACTGGTAAAAACTTTATGACTTTTATTAATTTTATAAATACAACCAAAGAAATTCGTTTCATTTTTATTACCTACTGCTTTTGTTAATGATTATTAATTTTGATTTTAAGTAATAAGACTGTGTATTTTTTCTACGAACAACAAGGCCATTATGCTTTTATGTCACGTAGAGACATTAAAATTTAAACTTAATTAAAATTTAAAAAATATTTAATTTAAATTTTAAACTTTCATATTATTTCTAAAATTTATTAAAACGTTTTTGTATTATAATGCATAGTTTTAAGATATTTTTAAAAATTGAGCTCTATATTTCTTTGTCAACACAGTTGAAACTGATTAGATTTATAGTACATAACATAATTCACATATAATTTTACAAAAATACACATACAACGACAGTAAAAGAAAAAAAAAAGAAAAAATTAAAAAAAAAATTATTTCTTAGTGTGGGTTAAAAAAGAAACATTCAGACTATTTTAAACACACATAAAAATTTGAAACTACTTACCAAAATAATTTTAAAACAAATATTTTTAAATCCAGTTAATGATAAATATTCATTTTATCTCACAGAATTGTGTTGTATTATCAATAAGAGTAAATTTGAACGTTTCCAAAGTATCTATTTTCTCTGAAATATTTTAGAACTTTCAAATAAACGGCAAACACAAGTTTTAAATAAAAATTAATAACTAATTTTTCATTTTTCTGCGCTAAAGTAGTTTTTCGGCCGCCGTGAAGCGAAAACATCAAATGATATATCCCTCCAAAGCGGTTCATTGGTTAAAATACCCTATGATGTCATTTGACATTGAAATCCAAAAACGATTATCTTTCATTCACAAAAGCAACTTCGTAATCCGGGGAAAATTTTTAGAGTGGCGCTATCTGTGAAAGAAATTGAAAACTAATTATTTTTATTCAATATAACTCCGGTTTTCGATTTTTAAAGTAATATCAGAATGTTTTTTTTTAATGTTATATAAGCTTGTGGGGATTCTTACCTCGTCATATATGTATACATTTTCCTGATTTTTGTTTTGAGATGAACATTTAAATCTAAATATACCATCTGAAATGAAGATCGATTTTTATTCCAGAGGTCAGCAACCTATAGCTTACAGGTTTTTGTGTGATCTAATTGTAAGTCGTTAAACTTCCTAACACATACAGATGCAAAAGAAAAAAAATACAGTTTTTGAAGATTGGAAAAACCCCTGGAGTATTGGAGAGCAAACACGAAATTCTGGGGAACAAGGGGAGTTTTTAAGGGGAATACGAAACCCACCCATTTTCAATATGAATTGAAAGACGCAGTATAAAAAAGTAGCATTTAAACTGTTTGATATACATCTATTTAATTGTATCGGTTTTTAATGTATCGATTTTCAAAAAATTCGTTTGAAGAGCTAGACTAAATTTTATTAAAAGTGAATTTTAAATTCAATATTTTTAACTTTATAAATTTATATAAAACAAATAGTGAATATAATTCCTTGATGTTAAACGTTTAGTTTTAAATCCTAGCTTAAGTTAGATTATGATTCTTTAAATAGAGAATTTCGTATTTTTTATAAATTGCTTAATTCGTTGAAAGAGACGATTGCATTAATTTGAATGACGATTTAAATTATTGAGAATGAATAAAATAGAAATTTTCAAAAATTTCTTCCCTAATAATATTTTTCTACCCTTTTCAACTTAACTAATACATAATCTTCAGTTTTTATTTGGCTGCATGTTTTTAATTTTATGTAATATGTATTTTAATGCGGTGTACAGTGCGTCAAAAATAAATAAATAAATGGTCCACCCTGAATAACTTTTGATCTAGTGATCGAATCCTCACGTTGGTCAGAGGGGGGACCTGAAATATGCTAATTAATTAGTGCAGACGATTTTTCAAGTTACGAAATCAGACACAGAAACAAAATTTCGACAGATTCAGATTTTTTTACTCCCAAAATTTAGGGGGTAGGAGTAAATTTATATCTTATTTTATTACATCCGTCGTTGAACAGCCGGCCCAATTTTGGGTTAACGATTACTAATGTTCAACTCCGTAGCCTTGTAATTTTGAACCAATCCAGAAGACAAGGAAACTCCTGGATCAGTACCCCCAGAGGTATTGATTTGTTACGGGAACATGGAGGACTTTGTGACTCGACAGATTTTAACATGCATCAGTCACCATTTACTACACGATGTGTCTTCGGCTTGCTGGGATCGAACCCACGACCTTTTGGACATGGGCCCAGTGTCCTACCAATCAGGCTATCCCGGCCGGTAGGCATAATTTGGAAAATATGATCCTTGTTGTTTTGTCAGGAGAGCGATCCAAAATTTGGATCTCATAATGTTAATTTAATATTCTGCGCATTTCGCCATATCTCGAGAATGTTTTAAACGAATTGATAAAATTTTTGCATACAATTATAAATATCGTATCGTTTATCTAAAGATAATTACACGTAAAAAATACATTTCAGTTAATATTTATTATTTATTATTATGTTATTTAATAGTAGTCGAAAAAATTTTGAATTGCAAGGTAGACAATTATTTACATTATTTTAAAGTAAGTAATTGTACGTGGCAAAATATAAAATTTGAGAGAAATCAGTTAAATAGTTCCTAAAAACTGAATTTTAAATATACGACATTTTTAGTTTTGATCGTTTTTCTGTCTTATTTTGTAACAAAGTGGTCCGTATTTTTATTTATTTATTTATTTTATAGCAATTAAGTTCTATTATTGATTAAAGATTGTTTTCATAGTTGATTACTTTAGATTTGATCGTTTAAAGAGTTTAAAATTCGTTTAAAGAGTTAGACTAAATTTTATTAAAAGTGAATTTTAAATTTAATATTTTTAACTTTAAAAATTTATCTAAAACAGTGAATATAATTCCTTGATATTAAACGTTTAGTTTTAAATCCCAGCTTAAGATGGATTATGATTACTTAAAAAGAGAGCTTTGTATTTTTTATAAATTGCTTAATCAAAAAAAAAAAAAAAAAAAAAAAAAAGATGTTAAAAAAAGGAAAGAATGTTATGATCCAAACTTGAAATTTAGAGAAAATTTGAAATTTTAAGAAAATTTATTGCAATTAAGTTCTATTATTGATTAAGGATTGTTTTCTATTGTTGATTATTTTAGGTTTGGAATTCCTTTTTGGTTTTGAAACAGGATCGTTACGAGAAGGTGGGTGGGGGAACCTAGTATTTCCAGGTTACTCAAAGAAAAAACTAGGCGCCATTATTACTTGTGATTTTTTTTTAATAAATATTTTAATATTCGCCATTATTTTCATTTTATGACTAATAATAAGTAGGGTCCCAGAAGCTTACACATGTGTGTAAGAATTAATAAAAATTAAATAAAATATCATAAAAAAATGTATTCTGAATGTGCTTAAAAAGTAAAAGGCCCTGAAGCCAGCAAAATTTTCTTTTAATTTTCACATATTAAATAGAAATATACTAATAAAGAAAATTAAATCTTAAGAAAATTGATATTTATGAACCAAAAATACATTCAAACAAAATAAAGAAATAAAAAATAACTGAATTTTTTTGCTTTAAGAACAATTATTGCATTTTGCAATAGTTACCCTGAATATCGGAATAAAATCCGCATTTAGTTTCAGCTAATTTGTATACTTATTGCTTATGGGAAACAAAAGCTTATTGTCATTAAATTTTCAAAAATGAAATCATTTATGTGTAATAGTATTAAAATTTCTTCAATTATTAGATTTACAACCTGCGGGATAATAAAATTAAAACTACTCTGTCACTCATCGAAAATGTGGGTTAGAAATGCCCCGCGGCAACGTTTTAGTAGTAGCAGTAGTATTAGTTGCTCATTCACGTCGCCCTAGAGCTGCACTATGGTCTATTGGCGACGATCTGGGAAACATCCCTAAGGATGATACAAAGACATGCCATCACAATTTTAATCTTCTTCAGATGTCTTGTGCATTATGTTTTATAGTCGCACAAAACCGGGCAGTTTTTCTTAAATCCTTTAATAAATCCTTAAAATATAAGAATAACACTAAGTTGAGGAAATTTTGCGAGACACCAGCTCATATTAACATAACATAAAAACAAAAAAAACACGATAACTCTCATGGCTTGCCCGATATAATTTTAACCGAAGATTCGTCCACCACATTGGGATATTTTAATCAGCGCTGTGATCCATGCTAGCATACGAATCAAAATGCTTTTCGAATCTGTGTATTTGGAGTCAAAATGAGCGCCCGATTACATAATAAGCAGATTATGTAATACTCTAAGTAAGCTGATTAAAGGGAGTTGTAGACTGAGTCTGATGAAAATAAGGAGGAAAGTTTACTGGAGTATCTCGGGGAGCTAGAAGCGAGCTAAGTTTTCATGAAATTCACAAAAAAAAATTAATCAAAATTGATTTGTCATTTTGCGGAAACATTGACTCAATGCTGGATTTAGAAGCACAATAGCAGAAAACATAAAAATATATGAAGAGTTTCTACTCTAATATTACAGAATGTAAAAAGTTAACGCATTATTTTTCGAACCACATCAAAATGGCAACACTTTCTGACTAAATGCCCACAGCGCCCCGATGCGGGAAAAGACTTAACTACTCGTTGATCATTTGTTTATCTCATAGAAGGAAATATCACAAAATAATTTAATATATTTATATCAGCACAAGTTTGGTTCAATAATATTTATTAAAAAGAAGCGAAAAAACCACTTAACTTTCGAACTATAAATATAATTGAGACATTAATAGTTGAAGTAAACAAAAATACGACATAGCAACTACATTATAAATTGTACCAAGTCAACTATTCAAATCAATAGCATGAACCAACTATTTTTTTCCTAGAGTTGTCAGAGGAAGGAGGGCGAAGAAAAACTTTGAAAAAAGCGTTCTAATGACGTCACAGTCAATTGTCTTATGTATTATTCATTCATAGAGCTCCAAACGTGCGCATTATAACATACTTCATGTGAGTAATTAGTCTTGCTGCGTGTGAAATTCGAGTTTACTTAAATAGAAAAAAGCAATTCTTTGACGATATTACTAAAAGGTCATTACTTCCTTTATGTCATAAGGTGCTCCAAATTGTGAAAAGAGTTTAAAACAATTATACTCACTGCATATAAGAATAACCAGTTACACAAAAGAAATTTATTAAAAATCATTAGAAATTGAGTAAAAAAATATATATTTAGGTAACGTAATAGAAATTTTATAAGACCTTGAATAACAGTATTTCACTATTTATTTCTCACTTTAGTCACTAGATTCGTCCGAAAACGAATGAATGTCACCTATAATAAAGGAAATAATTCAGATAATGTGAAAAAATATCGAAAGGCATTGGGCATGATAATAATAAGCCACATTTTCAAATTTTACAGTAGAGCCTTTTTGAAAACAATACTATTTTTAAGTGATAATATTACTGCTTTTATTTTTTTTTCATTAACGGGATTCCCAGTAACTTGCAAAGTATATGTATGGAAACAATGCTAATAAATAATTCTGTGTAGAATTGTTAAATTTGAAAAAAGTATGACTTATCAATACATTTGTCCTATGCCCTTCATATAAAGTATAACATTTAAATCCCTATTAACTCCATAACCCAGATAACATATGTTGAAAAAGCAACCATTATCTTAACATTTCTGATAAGTATATTTTATTTGTAGTTTGTATATCATGTTAATTAATCTAAAGATTTAAATAAAGCAATCCCGTAACAGAAACCAGGATCGCCATGGAGGTTAAGGTGTTAAACGTTTTCGTGATGAACCGTTTTTTTTAGCAATGTAGTCTGCCTTTACTTCTCAGAAGAGTTTGTACCCATCCGTGTGAACATAAGTTCAAACCACCACCAGAGGGAGCCACCCCAGTCCTTCACAATTTCAATGCCTTTAACAGTTGTGTCAACGATTCAGGCTAGAGTTATAACAAACAATATAACCATTGAGCAATCCTGTGTTTGATATAATTGGATAATCCAACCAGACTAGCAATACTATCTGTCCTTAATAATGACAGTTCAATGCATGTGACCACAGTGTCATTCCGGCTCAGACTAGAGTTATAACGAACAATATAACCATTGAGCAATCCTGCGTCTGATATAATTGGATAATCCAGACAGACGTTCAATATGATCAGTCCTTAATAATGACAGATCAGTGCATGTAACCACTGTGTCATTCCGGCTCAAACTAGAGTTATAACGAACAATATAACCATTGAGCAATCCTAGGGTGTGATATAATGGGATAATCCAACCAGACTAGCAATATAATCTGCCCTTAATAATGACAGTTCAATGCATGTAACCACCGTGTCATTCCAGTTCAGACTAGAGATATAATGAACAATATAACCATTGAGCAATCCTGTGTTTGATATAATTGGATAATCCAACCAGACTAGCGATCTAACTAATCCATCATAACGACAGTTCAGCACATTTAACCAATCTGACACTTCAGTTCAGAGAGATATAAGGAAAAATATTGAGTAATCCTGTATTAGGTACCATTGGCGATTACCGATATAACCGGAAATCAGACTAATCGATAATGTGATGTAACTGTTAGATAATTTGTTAGACTAGCTCTTTTTGTGAAGTATAAAATAATTTCTATATTTTCAGAAAAATTAATTCAACGTTAGAAATTTCGGAATGCAAATCGCGCAAAGTTGCGTGAACTGAATATGACGCAGGTGCTATCTTGAACCATTTTATCAAACTAACAAATTCTTCTTGAACCTAATTACAATGATTCAAAGTTAACGAAAACTTACTTCAATTTAACACCTTAACTTACAAGTTTAACTTACAATATTATGGTTCAAAATACCGATAATATGGTTCTAAATTAAACCGATATTTTAAGAGTTTAGTCAAAAGTTTCAGATTAAATAATCTCCGGAAGTGTCTTAATATCTATAATATTAATGGAGGCAAAATTTCGTGTATGTGGATTGAAAAAAATCGGTATATGATACTGAAAATTAGATCGAGAGCGTTTAATATTTTACTACAATGACAAAATTCTCACAATTTCCAATTACCTGCAACCTTTCTTTTTCGTATTTGTATCAAAATTTTCTACAATCTGAGTTTTCGGTACAACGAACTAGTAATGATCTCAATCACTTTTGATTAACGGGGTTCTACTATATAATTTTTTACTTCATAGAAATTTCAGAAATAAAATTTGTGATCATAAAAAAGAAAATGCATGATAAAAGAAAATGCATCATTTCTTTTTCGTATTCGTATCAAAATTTTCTACAATCTGAGTTTTCGGTACAACGAACTAGTAAATGATCTCAATCACTTAGGATTACAGGGGTTCTACGATATAATTTTTTATTTCTTAGAAATTTCAGAAATAAAACTTGTGATCATAAAAAAGAAAATGCATGATAAACCGGAGCAATAATTGACAAAAAAATTAATAAAAACAATTGAAGCTGTCAATGTTAAAAGAGGATGAGTAACATTTTTACGAAAATAAGCTTTTTGTTGATTTTGTAATCTGTACAGGTAAACGCAATGTTCAGAGTATGAGCGGGAGATGGATCATGGCTATATCTCAGGTAACGTCACCCAGTAGTTTATTTTTTCATTTTTGAAAAGGGAAATGAGTAGCACATGCCCCATTTCCACACTGACTTGGTATAACTGCAGCAAAAGTCATGTAAAATCATATAATCGAGAACCGATTACAATAATTGTACAATAATCGATAGCGTTAATAATTATCGTAATCAGCGCGCAAATAAAGCTTATCAATATTATGTTTTCGTAATTGTAACAAAGTGAGTTCTATTAACTTTGATACTATTATTTAACACTCAACTGCACGCGCTGAATATTTCAACACAAGTACAAGCGTGGCGCATTTTATACGCCACTGGAAAGTCAGAGAAATAAATAGTTGCGGCTCAACAGTTTTCCATCTGTAACCAACATAACAATGCCACTGAAACAATAAGACTGACGAAACAAAGGACACGTTCATACAGCAATCGCGATTTTTCACACAGCCATGATGTACCGGGAAAAGTGGTTGTAAGGCGGTAAGTACATCAACAGTTTCGTATCCCACACATTCTCTTTGGTGGCAACTAAAAAGGATGTCCCTTCCCAAGTATTAAAGCTTATCCAGTTGGACGTGCACCCATTAACAGCAAAAAATTGGATGACCTGAGAACCCTTTCGAACCATGTTGTTGGTAATGATTCAATATTGTAGAGATGGCCAAAGACTCAAACAGAAGCTAACTCAGTTACACAAAATCTCAATGAAGACAGCTATTGGGGGATTTGAGACTGAATGAACAATTTCAGTACACTATTGACTGATAACATGTAGGGGAGAGTCAGGTAGCCCCGCCCAGCGGGTACCCCCACCCACAGTCAATTTCATATATATAGAATATTTTTTCAAGTCAATGGGCCATTGGACATTAATTGTTGTATTAAAAAAAGATTATTTTCAAAGTTTCAAGTATTTATGCAGCTGTTAACATGGTAAACAATAGTTTTGAAAATATGTTGAATACAGTAGTCATGAAATTAAGAAAAATTGGTTGAATGCTTCGATTAAACTTCATTTTAATACTAAAGGAATAATTTTTTTCTACACATACAGCATTAAAGTATGTAGTCTTAAGTTTAATTTGCGCGAAGAAAGAAGTTTATATGTGAAAAATTGTTAGAGTAATTACAAATTTACAAAAAAATTGGATTTCGGGTAGCACCGCCCAATTTTATTTCGTCGATAAATGTACGGTTGCAAAGATTATTATTTTATTGCTTCAAATTTGAATGTTATAAGAATTTTTAACAACAAATATTGCTGTTATTAAATGATAGAATTCACTAAAAGTATATAAATATGTAATAAATAAAATAATTTTGTGATAAAAATGATAAATGAGGTTTATATATTGTCAATACATTGGTCACTTTCATTTACACCTGAAAAAACAGTCAGAAAACATAATTTTTGTAACTGGGCGGGGGCTACCCGGCACATTTTGAAAAGAGCTGAAAAACATGTTTTTTTAAATTTCTATTTTTTTAAGTTAAACTATTCTTTTTTTGGTTTATTCTTTTTGCATTATTTAATTAGATGGTAAAACAATAGAAACATACAAAAATATTGATTATTACTCAATATTATATAGAAATATAAGCAATACTCCTTAAGTGGGCGGAGCTATCCGACTCTCCCCTACTAATGATTTGTCATTAACTTTTACAATGTGTCAAAATATTTGTTTGGGAAATTAAATTATTGCTTTTAACATAAAAGGATAATTCTTCCTTAACTATTTTTTCCTTTCTTTCTTTTTGGTGTCAATGTTAAATGGGGATATGTGCTAAATTCAAAAATGCACAGTTCCAACAGCTATACTCATTTTTTAATATCAAATACCGAGTAATTTTGACTGCCTGAAGAAGAGAATCCAACATTTTGAAAACAATTAAAATAGTCTTTTCATAAATGACACAGTTATTTTAGTTTTTCTCGAAAGTGCAGATTTGTATCATATCCCCTTTTAACATTGACTGCTTCAAATACAAGAAAAGATTTTTTCTTGGTTTAAAAAATTCAGCAAAAATATTGAGGAAATCTTCATATATTATAATATTATTGATATAATATATTTATAATATATTATAATTTGTACTATAATAATATTATGTAATATAATATATTAATAATATCCTACAACTTATAATGTGATTAATTAATAAAGTTATTTTCCAAGATTTAACTTACTAAAAATGTTAATTAATTCGTACATTTTCAGAACTTTAATTTAGATGAAACCGTAATTACTTCATATTTATTGATTGAATATTTTTATTTAGTTATATCTGATAAAATAGTATTCGATATAATAATAAATAAAATAATATTATTTATATAATATCATTTTATATGTTATTTATTATTTTATTTAATGTTATTGATATATAAAATAATAGCAATGAAAATTACAAAGGAAACTAACTTCTGGGAGTAACATTTGTCATTTTAATCAAAACCTCCCAATAATCCAAGCCATAGTCTTCACATATTTTAGCGAGGGCTTCTTTATATTCCGGTAAAGTCAAAACTACTTTTTTTCTGAAAAAAAAAATCAACATGAAGTCCAGTAAAACTAGATTTTTTCTAAGGAAAAGCAAATATCGTAAATTTTTCATAGAAAGCTTTGCTACGTCCTTATTAGTGATATCTGAAAACTCTTCCGACTCTTTGCTATACGATTCCCCCATTTTGGAAAGAAATGAGTGTGATTTGAGGGGGGTGGAATCGAATAAGTCAATAAAAATAAAGATCAAGGAAAGCATTGTTTTTACGATGAATTGAATGAGATGATAAGTCTAATAGCTTAAAAGGCATATTGGTGGAATGTACAAAAAGTATGATGTTCAACTAGCCCTTTTTATACATCTGAAATCAAGATATTTAGACAAGTGCAGTATTATTTCTCACGTATCGTATTTTTTTTAAACAAACCAGTCCAAACTTGAGTCAATAGAAATTAACACTGCAGGAATCGCAATGTATAAATATACTATTTTTTAGTATTTTTTTAGTTGGTGAAGTGAAACATTGCTTCCGTTGTACGCTTTTACTCTAAATCGAATGAGATCAAGTTCGAAATAAGTCTAATAGCTTAGAAGCTATATTGGTTGTATGTACAAAAATATAATTTCCAACTTGCCCATTTTATTTATCTGAAATCTAGACATCTGAATTATTTCCTACGCATTGTATTGTTTTTAAACAAATCAGACCAAACTTGAGTCCGTAGGAATAACACTTCAGGAATTGCAATGTATAAAAAGTACTATTTTTTTACTTGTACTTATTCACACAAGTGGTATTGTGTAGCAACGGGAAGTATGGGGGTATTCAGATATCATTCAAAACTTTCGATGAAAAATTACCTAGGATATAAATTTTTTCGAAGAAATAATTTTTATGCATAATTTCCGATTTAGGCGGTGGTTCGACGTGTTTTAATGATTTTATTTGATGTAAATTAATTAGACAAAAAATTACAGGTAACATATAGTTTAGTTATTAAATTTTATTTTATAAGCGATGTTGAAAAGATGACTGAGTTTAAAACCATCAATGTTTAACTTCATAGCCTTGCAATTTTGAAGCCAATCCGGAAGACAAGGGAACTTCTGGATCAAACACTGGAAGAAACATGCCTTGGAACTAACTCGCATTTGTTTTAGATGGAGAGAGAAGCTATGAAAATCTTGATCGACGACAAGGAGATTCTAACTCATTATCCGTCTACCACTGAGAATATTTTAAGTCAGCACTGTGGTTGGTGCGAACCGGGAGCAGAATTCGTATCGACTAGCCAAAGCCAGCCAAACTAATGAGCATGCAATTAGGTACTATTTATATTTTATTTGGGCACAAGTAAATAAAGTTTGTGATGTATACTCTGCTTAAAAATAATGTTTTTTTTTCAAGTTTGTTTCAATAAATATTTTTTTATGAAACTGTTTCGGATTTTTATAATGTTTTTGTTTGTTGAATGAAAAATTACTCTTACTTATCCGTAAAATAAAAAAAAAGAATACGATTATATTCGTTAATAGTAAAATTAAGAAAAAAAAAGCAATTTGCTGGTTAAAATTAATGATTAGTTTCATTTATTGTAATACCTAATAATAAATGAGAGTTAAAGTTTTTTTTTTGCATATGGTATTACTATTTTAAATTTATTTTTTTCTAAAACTGCTCTGCTGCCAAAATTTTCGGAATAGCGAATTTGTAATGAATTTAGAAATTAGTCCTTAGTTAGCAGGTGTTTACGGTCACATAAACAGAATCTACGTTTTTTCCAATCCTAAATATTACTAGAATTACTGCTAAATAAATACTGCTTAATAAATTTCAAATAACCTTGATTCAAAAAATAATAAGAAGAACTTGACTCTATCAAAATAATTAAAATTATATTTTTGTCCCCAATTTGCAACCTTTCTCATGATTGTTCACTTCCTTCTTCCAAAAATAGTGAACTACACTGTTGGACAAAATTAAGAGATGGAAGACATTTTCCCAAATATCTCAAAAAATACTGAATATAAATAAATGAAATTTGGCATGGATATAGCTTATTCCATGATAATAAAGTATGCAAAACAAAACAACCATTCACTGGCAAGACCTATTGCCAATAAATCCAATGTAGTCTGAACTTATAAAAGATGACAATAAAAGTAAGGCTTGCACAGTGTGTGTTGCCTCTAGTATGGTGTATGGTCACCCCTGACAGGAAGACTTGTGGAAGATCTTCCCATTCTTCCAACAGAGCAATTTTTAACTCCAGAATGGTTCTGGGGGGGGGGGAGGTTGGCGCATCGCAATAGCTCTCCCAAGAGCATCCCAAGCATGTTCGATAGGATTCAGGTCAGGGGATTTGGCTGGAAAATCTATTCGTTGAATATGCTCGCTTTTCAGATACGCATCAACCATGAGAGCCCTATGTGGTCGCGCATTGTCGTCCATAAAAATGAACTCAGGGTCAACAGTGCCCCTGAAAAGACGCACATAGGGCTCTAGGACCTCCTACTCTGTACCTCTGGGCATTCACGGAACCATTGTCAAACACATGGAACGGTGTGCGGGTATCTTGCATGTGCGAATAAATGTGCGAAAATGCTTTCCATCTGTTAATTTTGTCCAGTGTAATATAATCGTATGTCATGTGACGTAGGCGAGAGAAGTGCAAACTCTTAGTGAACGAACAATACACGGAATATTAACAATGCAAAAATAGTTCTTACTGAGCATATCGCTTGAAGCCCGCTGCATTCTCTTCTTGGTATATACCTGCTTGCTTCATCCATTTGCTATGACTGACGTAATCCATAATATTTCCCCGATAAATCTTCTTTGTAAATTCCGGAAATTTTTTCTCAAAATTTGTATTTAAAAGACTCCTGTGTGCAATGCTTATACTCAAGCAGGAGCTCTTAGTCTGTCTTCTATTCCATAAACTGCTCCACCCGAATCGGCTATCGTAGCGGTATTTTGTTATGTTTCTAGTTTCATCCTCACATGTTTTGGTTTTAAAAGCAGGTATTCTACTTTGGCAGAGTTTCTGTTCTGAATTCAAGAAGAAAAAAAGCAAGTGAATGTTTTATACGTAGCTGAAAACAGAATAAATCTAAACACTGAAAAAAATATTTGAGTTTAAAATAATTCATGGCGAATGTTTTTTTTCCCCGAAACGTCTGTAAAAATTAATCATAAGCTTACAAGGATTGTTATTTCTTCTTAAATTTAGCATCAAATATACTTAAAATATTATTTGTTTGATGGTGTAGGTTTGAAATCTGATTGATTTCCACTTTGTCCAGAGAGAAATCATTAGTTTATTTAACTAATCAATTGCTTACAAACTAATAAAATGTATATAAACGGCCTAGTAGGGGTTTGCGTTGCCATGCTTAATATCCCTAAACAGCTTTCTCAGCTCATTCAGCAGACACTAAGGCAGCAGACTCTAAGGCACATCTGGCTCAGCAGACACTAAGCCACAATAGTTCAGCATTTTTGTTTAAGAAATATTTCCACACAGAAACCGAAACTGTCTTACATCTCGACAGAAAATTTATAAATCCTAAGTTATTAAAAAAAGCAATACATACAATAGTTAAAACCTTTAAAATAAATATTGAATTTTTATTTTAAATTAAAAAATATAATGATTTTCTAAAATAAATGACCATAACCTTATTAATTTTTTTAAGAAATGAATTTGCATCGAAAAGCTTAACTAAATTCTTAATAATATTATAGTTCGATCCCCACCTGCTGAAGGCTCCCAGTTTACAAAAAGTTGACTTGTGCACGTTAAATTTGTAGGGGTCACAAAATCTTCTAAGTTCCCATAACAAATCAATACCTTTGGGGTACTAGATTGGACATGGACGTGCTCTGGTTCATGTCCAAATTATGATCTGTGGATGGATGGAAGATGTGTAAATGCGTCTTCCCTGTGAAATGGGCTGTGACGTACTTGCGTAACAGAAGTCGAATTCTTGGCCAAAGATGGCACCGCTTGAAAACAAGAAAAAGCGCACCCCTCTGCTATAAAATAGGTTAGTCAGTGACATAAGACAACTACAATAACAACGATAATAATATGCTGTTTATTGGCTTGTTTGCTACTTACCACTAACAAACGGTAAATATTATGCCGATATAAGCTTTACAACGCATTTTGATTAGTGACTTTATTTCATATTTTATAACCATGGTTGAACATCCGACGCAATTCTGGGTTTACGACTACCAATGTTCAACTCCGTATCCTAGTAATTTTGATTCCAATCCAGAAGACAAGGGTGCACCTGGATCAGTACCCCCAGAGGTTTGATTTGTTATGGGAACTTGGTGGACTTAGTGACCCAAACAGATTTTGCGTGCATCAGTCACCATTTACTACACGGGGAGTCTTCGGCCGGCAGGGATCGAACCCACGACTTCTTGGACATGGGCCCTGTGCTCTACCAACCAGACTATCCCGGCCCTTTGATTAGTAACTTGCAAAAAATTGGCACTTAATTTGCTTTTAGAAAGTTAGTATTATCAAAAGACTCTAACTGAACTTAAATAAACTTCTCAATTGAGTCCTATATTTAATTTATTGTCATACAGACACAGTCCCTCTTTATTAAAACTTATTTTTTCTAATAAAAAAAGTCAATTTTGGGTATTCATTTGTTAGCTGAGCCATTGTAACACAAAAAAAACCCTATTTTTTATAAGTAACTTTCAGACATTAAAAAATGAAAAATGAGAATAGAATTTTTATTGGACGATTATATACGAACAGCGTTAGATAACTGATTTCTATTGAGTAAAAGATTTTTAGAAAAAACAACAAACCGCAAATTTTATTTAAATTTTGTAATTTTCTACAAAAAACAAAATTGCCTTGACCACTAAAAATACTTATAGTAATATTAAATATATTTATTATATTATATTTATTATTATATAACTTATAGTAATATTATATTTACATAGAAAAAATCTATAATATTGCATATATCCAACAAATCTATATATTGCATATAATTTACATATATCCAAATGTAACTATCAAAAGGCGCTAATATTTTTTACAACAAAAATAAAGATTAAATAAGTTTTTTAAACTTATTTATTCATTTTTGAAGCAAGTTTTTAGCATATTGAAGTAATTTTGTTTGCGAAATATTTTTTAAGCTAAATGCTCTATTCTTGCAAATAAGATCGCAAATATTCTATCAACATTAGAATCGTGACACCAATATTTTTTTTCCATTACTTTATAGAAAATAATCGGATGTCAAAAAATTCAATGAAAAAGTTTTTAATTGTTTCTTTTTTAAAAAAAAAATAGAAAGGTATTTTGCATACGTAGTGAGTAGTAGTATTTAAAATTTATTATAAGATAAATATCAATGGAATTCAGAATTAATTATAGAGCTGTATATTTAGAATAAAAATTAATTTTCCTACCTTTAAGGAAAATCCTTTTTTTTTTTGTAGAAATTGACGAAATAGTATAAAGCCTTCAAATCTAAAAATGAACGACATTAATTTTAGAGCAACGGTGTGCTATCAGGTTTTGTTTCAGACTTGGGTAATTAACTTTTTCAAAACTCCAACAGGCTACAGGAGTTATTGTTTGGTCAATAGGTTCTAGTTTTTCAGTGATTTTAAGATACTTCCAGAAGGAAAAGATTTTTCGGAGGATAAATCAGGCATCGAGTAGACTTCAATTACAATAACTGATAGAAATGCTTACAGAACCCGGGTTCTTGAGTTTTCAGACAGTTGATTGACGACCATAAGGATTGGAGAATGATTTAAATAGGAAAAATAAATTGAATTTTTTGAAAAATAAATTGAATTAGAACAACGAAAAAGAAAAGGGAAATCTGTAAGACCAATCATGAAAAACGTCAAAGCATTTGTTTCACAGCAATATTAATTACTATCGTTTTGTCAAATAAACAAATTGTTGTAGATCCTTAACCTTTTACTCCCCTGACTTGAGTCCTTTTGAGCTTTTTCTCTCGAATTAAAATACATCTCAATGAACGTTATTTTGAAAGACTGGAAAACACTAAAAATGATGCACGGTGAGGTATTTTTATTTACGTTGCACTAGAGCTGCACAAAAGGCTGTTGGTGATGGTCTGTGAAACCTCCCTAGTCTGTGAAACATATATAAGATAGGACATATTCACACACCATCCATTCATCCAAAGATCGTGATTTTGACATGAACCAGAGCATGATCAATCTCAGCTCCAGTACACCCAGAGGTGTTTATTTGTTATAGGAACTTCAAAGACTTTGTCATCCCGACACATTTAGGATGCACCAGTCATCATTTTGTACGCGGAGAGTCTTTGGTCGACGAGGAATAAAATGCTGTAACTGACCAGATAAAGGCTATTATAGATTTCGGGTTCCAGCACTGCTAATAGGATAGAAAGTACAGTCACCGACGACGTATGGTTTTCCAAAGAAATTATTTCGTGAAAGACAATCTTGAATTGCAACTCAATTCGAATAAAAAATTATTAAAAAATAAGTCTAATTACTTAATTTAGACTTCTTGTAAAACCATTAAAGTAAAGAGCTAGATATCAAAATGCAACACGTGCACTTCTACATATATAAATATCTTATTACAAGAAGATAGAGATTATGTTCTTGAACTAGGAAGCTATTACAAAGGAAAAATTAAATTCCTTATACCTTTTTAGTTCATTTTTCAACATATCAATATAAATTTTGTCTTTGAAATTATGACTAAAAATGTATAGCTATTAAATATTTTATTAATATCGATTTTTCAATAGTTTTAAAAAATTTTCTGTGTTCAAAAACGTTTAAATGTGATAAAGTAAGCTTAAGATAAGCTATAATAGTAATACTCGTAATCGCATGCTTTTAGCAAAGTTATTGTTTGCGTAGTTATGTACATATTTGTCTAATTAATATTTATAAGATCAAAAATTTCTTTTTATTTTTAACATGAAGAGCCTAACTTCTAATTGCCCGAAGTCTGAGTCAGGCAAATTTTTCCAACTCTAACTCCTTTTAAGCCCCATAGCTCAATTACTCAACAATTACAATTGTTACAATTACTAAATCTCAATGTATTTTTTTTTCTATAAAAGAAGTACTTTAAATCATTCAAATGTAAATCCCTTTACTTGCATTATTGTTTGAAGTTTTCTTTTATGTTCTGAATCACCTATTGCATCATAACATCTATTTGTTAGGAACAATGAAAACGAAATATTCATAACAATGCAATAGTATAACAATCAGTACTGCACGGTATTGTCTCAACATTATTCGTAGCTGAAAAAGACATTATCAACAATGGTATTAATCATTCGAATCTGTTTGAATGTTAGCGATTGAAGACATTTAAATTTTGATTTGCGAAATGAGCGATTTGTACAAGGAAGTACTGATCAAGAATTGGAAGTTGGGGAGGATTAACCATCCTAGACCTCGACCTCCCGAATGTAAGTATAAATTAGGTAAATTTTCAACTCCATATTATTTTCATATGCTTCTCTGTATCCAACTGTGTACTGTTGTCGTACAGTGCGCGTACAGTTTACTCACCCACTAACTCTTCTTTTTATTATATATTTTATCATTTGGAGAAAAGTTTATTTTAATATAATTATGTTCTTTTTATTCTGATGACTGTATTTTACAAATGTATGTCATTCAGATGTTCTTAATATTAATTTACTCTTGTGACTCTTGTTCTAACGAAAGATATCCTTTCTTCTTCTTCTTCGTTAGCCTACAGCCTAGTGCAGGCCAAGGCTTTCTCAATTAGCTGCCTCCAGCTTTGAGCTAGATTTTTCCACCTGTTTATTCCCAACAATTTTAAGTCCTTCTCAACACTGTCCAACTATCTTGTAGCTGGTCTTCCTCCTCTTTTAGTTCCTTCAATTTTCGAAAAAGTAAGTTTTTTAACAAGGTCCAAATCTTCAGGCCGAAAAACGTGCCCCAGCCATCTGATCCTGTAGGTCTTAATAACCTCCATAATATTAGGTAATCTATATTTATTG